CTTGTACTCCTCTATAGTTGGTAGTATTCTGCATTGCTGTATAATGTATTGCTGGGACTTGTAGTCCTTTATAGTCGGTGCCATTCTGCATTGCTGTATAATTTATTCCTGGGACTTGTATACCTCTACTGTTGATGTAATTCTGCATTGCTCTATAATGAAGTGCTGTGACCTGTATTCCTCCATAGTTGGCGGTATTCTGCATTGCTGTATAATGTATTGCTGAGATTTGTAGTCCCTCCACAGCTTGGAGTCAGTGGCAGATCTACCAGGGTCGCAGCTGCAACTGGGCCCTGGCACTCGACCACTGACTCCAAACTGTAGAGCAGCGGTTCTCAACCTGTGGGTCGCGACCCCGTCGGGGGTCGATTGACAATTTGCCAGGGGTCGCCTGAAGATGCATCCAAACTCTCCCGGACGCTCCGGGAGTCTCCCGCTATTAGATAGCTGCTTCTGGCCGCCCGGGAAAGAAACACTTTCTCCCGGAAAGCCTTTCTCTGATCTGTTTTTTTTTTTCTGATATCGGGGCCGCCGGAAGTCAGAAAAAAAAAACACCATAGGAATGCATAGCTAGATTCCTATTGGCTATTTCACTTTGCAATAGCTAATAGCAAACTAGCTATTGCACCCGCCCACTGCTGCTGCCAATCAGCAGAGGGGGACCTGAAGTTCTCCATCAGGTCCCTTCTAGTGATTGATATTGCAAAGTGAAATAGCCAATCGGAATCTAGCTATGCATTCCTATGCTGTTTTTTTTTATTCTGACAGCTTGCGTTTTACGTTACATAACGCGGTTCTAATTATTATTAGATTAGTTGTCTCCTTTAAGCAGTGGTTCTCACCCTGTGGGTCGCTGTGTGATTTCTGCTGTGCTAGGAGAGAGTCCTCCTCAGCCCTCTCCTAACGCAGCAGTGTCAGTTCTCCCGCCAACGCCACCAGATGTCGCTGCAGCAGCCGCGTCATCCCTAAATTTTACCGTTGGGGGTCACCACAACTTGGCAAATTTTACCAAGGGGTCCCGCCCCTAGAAAGCTTGAGAACCGCTGCTGTAGAGTGACTACAAATCACAGCACAGAAGGAAGAAGAGGGCCCCGGTGACTACCGACATAAAATACCATACTGTACCACCGTCTGTGGCTGTATCAATATATAGTGATAGAAGTCATACTATAGCACACTCAGTGTTTGGATCACTATATAAGATTTCGGTTGTCAGGCTCAGTATATATTCATGGCAGTTATACTGCCATTTATATAAATAAAACGGGGCTTTACTTTTATTTACGAGTAGTATTACATTTTTTTTACAGAGTAGTACTTTTATTACAGCCTGTAGAACAAGATCCTATAATGAATTATAAACGACCAAGTGGGGCAGAATACCGTAAAAGACTTAAACATTGCAAAATGGAAAACAACAAAATGTCGTCATCAATGGGAAAATGGCTATCCAGAGGCAGAGCCAGCTGTACCCGCCCCCTCCCCCGTCCGTTCCGCCAGTCAGCGCTGGCAGATCTGAGCGGGGAGAGGGGAATCCAGCCCCTCCCCTGTCACAGCAGAGAGCCGTGACAGGATCGAGAGGTGAGCGAACGCCGGTATGTGTTCGCTCACCTCCCGATCTACTGAGCCGACCTGTGACAGTCTCATTGTCACAGGTCGGCTTAGAACTATGAGGTGAGTGGAAATCACTCATCTCATAGTTCTCCTTTAAGAATTTTTCTCAGTTTGCCAGTAACTGTGGCTTCTTGTGAAAGAAGCTTCAGCAAGCTAAAACTAATCAAGAACTACCTCAGAGCATCAACGGGTCAAGAGAGATTAACAAGTATGTCTATCTTGTCAATTGAACAAGATATAGCAAAACATATTGATTTTGATGCAATTATTGACAAATTTGCCTCATTGAAGGCAAGAAAAATACAGCTTTAATAAACCTTACATTGATTACAATGTACACCCTCCAGTTACAATCAGGGCTCGTTCATACCATTCCTGCATCAAACTACGTGCGTCCGTGCAGTTGCGGTGCAATGCGTTTTGATGTGTTTTTGATGCGTTCAGGTGCATTTTTTTTAACCGCAAAATGAAAAATGTCACTTCCTTCTTCTTGTCAGTGCACTTCCTTCATGCCTGTAGTAAAGTTATATTATGCATACTCTGTAGTACATGGGTAGTATAAATGCTGTATATAAAACATAAAGGTAAGATATAGAAAGAGAATTCACTCACGTTTTTATATCTGCATCCTATTCATGGTGGAGAAATCCAAGTAGATTTTTGCAGCGATCTCCCACCACTTCCCCATCTTCTGGCGTTTTTTTTGAACTGTGGATGCTTGGGGTCATAGAGGAGTGGACACTCCTCCACATATTTAATGAACACATCTGCATCCATGGCTGCAATGCTCTGTTCTTTGTAAATCTCCTCTGCCCACAAGAGGAAGTCCCAAGACATGGAGATCTATTCTGCTCATTTTTTTTTCTTCATTTTTGATGCGTTCCGTTGTGTTCCAATGCGTTTGCGTGCATTTTTATGTGTTTTGATGCTTTCCATTGCGATCAGGTGAAGCTGAAATGTGGCAATCAGTATTTTTTTCTGACTGCAACTGAACGGACTGCATTGGTATGAACAGAGCCCCAGAAATCATCATAGGAAAGCATTGTGATGCGTTATTGCACTATATTTATTTTATTCTATTTTGCTATAACTTATGGTTACATCTCTGAGGGATGAATTAACATGAAAAACACTTTGATTCTTCAATATAAAGTTTGTTTACAATCCAAATAAAATGATTTAATTCTGAAAGCACTATTTGTGACACCTTATTTAACTACACTGTAAGTTCATTTGTTATGAAGTTGTTATTTATGTTAAGTTACATATCTTTATGTTTCTTATGTAACTGAAATAAACGGTTTAAATATAATTAATTCCTTGTTATTTATTTACTTTCCTCAAAAAAACATCGGGACACACACACACACACACAATTTTCTGTTCTTGCCTCTGGCGCAAAATAGGCAAGCTACAGCTCTGCTCTGAAGTAAGAATGCTTTCAGAATTAAAAGTGTTAATAGTTTATTTTTATCAATGAACAAAATGGAGAGTAAATGAACAGAAGAGAAATCCAAATCAAATCAATTTTTGGCATGACCACCCTTTGCCTTCCTCTAGGTAGGTACACCTGCACACAGTTTTTGAAGGAACTCGGCAGGTAGGGTGTTCCAAACATCTTGGAGAACTAACCACAGATCTTCTGAGGATGTAGGCTGCCTTAAATCCTTCTGTCTCTTCATGTAATGCCAGACAGACTCAATGTTGAGATCAGGACTCTGGGGGGGCCAAACCATCACTTCCTGGACTCCTTGTTCTTCTTTACGCTGAAGAGAGTTCTTAATGACATTGGCTGTATGTTTGGGGTCATTGTCTGGCTGCAGAATAAATGTGGGGCCAATCACACCCCTCCCTGATGGTATGACATGATGTATAGGTATCTGCTTGTATTTCTCAGCATTGACACCATTGATCCTGACCAAAATTCCAAACTCCACTGGCAGGAATGCAGCCCCAGACTTGCAAGGAAACTCCACCACGCTTCACTGTTGCTGCAGACAATCATTATTGTACCGCTCTCCAGCCCTTCGGTGAACAAACTGCCTCCTGCTACAAGCCAAATATTTCACATTTTGACTCCTCAGTCCAGAGCACCTGGTGCCATTTCTATATATATTTAAAAATATAAAAGCCCTCCTCACTGCTGGGCACCGGCTGCAGGGGTCTTTGTCCCCCCCAGGTCCCTGCTGGGAGGGGACAAAGAGGAGAGAACTAGGAGATCCACACCAACTAATTGATGAGAATGATTCTCATTATCAATTATTATCGATGAATCGATTAGTTGGTTGCAGCCCTAATAGACATGATGACATCAGTGGACGTCCAACCACCAGAGCAGGGAGGGAAGAGGCTTTAGGCACCGGTCTTGGGGCAGCAGGAGCGGGGATCAGGTAAAACTATTTTAAAGAATCGCCCTAGACCACAATTGAGCAGTTAACCCTTACAGTGCTGGGCTAACCCCACTGCAAGGTTAGCTTTTTATTTTCTGTAAATAGGCTTAAACTTGGAACATGGGAAATGCACCAATGTTTACACCACAAAACTGACATATTTCCCTTTTTTAAAGTGCAACTGAAGCCTAACTTTTTTTGTCTTTAGTTTTGGATATAGTGGAGAGGGATAAGAACATCTGTCAGGTTTTTATTGCTGTCTGTGTCCCTGTTAGACAATCCTACTGTGTATTTGTGTGATAGGTTGCATCAATGTCAATAAAGACGCGTTATATGTGCAGTTGGAGTGCCGGTGTCCCATTTCTGTTAGAGAGAGTCCCCCTCTTTATTTGTCCTGGTGACCATTATCACCATAAGTAAATCCCACATTTTGGCTTGTCACCAGAACAGTAAAACATTGGAAATCTTACAATGCCTGACCCTGCTGCCCACCAGGGATTTCCCTCTCATTTGAAGGATTTCCTCTTCTTTCCTGTTGAGGCTAGCTTGTAGGAAGTGAAGGGAAATCTACCCGATGGGACACAGATGGCAAAGTAAAAAAATCACTGACAGGGGTTATAGGCCTCCCTTACTTTATACAACACTCAATAAAAAAACGTTTTGGCTTCAATTTTACTTTACTCCCCCCCACCCCCCAAACTGCCTTCAGGCCTTTTTTTATACAGGCCTTTCCCTGTGTATTTGCAAGGCCTGACATCAACCAAAGTCAGTAAACTCTGAGCTCACACACTACGAATGGCATGAATTAGAAAGCCTCCTGTCTATCATTTTCTAAGGCGGCTATCGTCTGAATTTGACTTATGTGTAGTTGTGTACAGCTTATCAGACGTTCTAGACCAGCTCGTAAATCACAGCACAGTCTTCCTTGCCAACCAACGCGCCACAGGCAGTGCGCCGGATGATGATGTCAGAGACGTCAGTGGCTGGAACCACAACACCTCCGTCAGCTGCGCAGCTGAGCCTGCACGGGATCGGGCTCTGATGATGCCGCTGCTGGGTGACCGTGTTCCTGGGTCCTGAGCCGCCGCAGCCCTGGGCAAGGGAGCGCAGTCAGGAGGAATCTGCTGGGTCGCATCTGTCATCCGGGAGGAGCAGTCAGTGGGGCGGCCTGAACCTGACCGGATGATCCCTTGGTAATGACGGCTGTCCTGTCACTTGTCGGCTTCTCATTAATCTGTATTCCACTCTTTCACTGTCGTGTCCTTTTCCTGTCATGTGCAGGGCCTGTGGATTTTTCGTATACATCTAGGCTGTAGATGGATTGTGCTTTGTACAGTGTATTGCAATGCCAGTCATTTCAATGTGCCCGTGTAGTGTCGGTGGAAGGTGACATCAGCTGCCAGTTTCTCTTTAAGAAGGTTTGACGATTTGTGTAATCCTCTCTGCCATCCTTTTCTGTGCAAGGCATAAAGATGCCAGTTCCTGCTGGATCCCTCATACTAAGTGATCCTCCTCCCTTCTCTTACATATAGTGCTGGGGTTACCATGGATGGCGCTCGCTCTGAGACCTGCACACTCCCAATCTTCCCACACACACACAATCATCTGATCTGTTACTGCCACACTGATTTACACAACTCTGGGTGATTTTATATATATATATCAAGGGATCTATGCACAATATAACTTATGAGAATATATATATATATATATATATATATATTAGTGTGGGCACAGTTTAGGTACATATACCCCTCTTAGCACAGCCTCCTCTCTCTCAGCAATTTTATAATAAAATATATCTTGAAGCTGGAATTTAATCTGCTTATATATCCTTCCCTGCTTCCTCCCCCAATAAAACTTTTCCCTTTTCATTAGATACTTTATTTTACACCTAGTGATGTCATCACTGGGTCTCTGAGCTTTTCTATGCAATGCAGACAGGTCATTGTTGGTGGGGAGGGGGCTGACAGAGTGCTGTATATAGCCTCCTGAAAACATCATATCACCCTGCCTCAGTGCTTCTCTCAACAGCCCTTAGTCCTGACGCAAGCAGTGGGTTAGCTGTTGGGAGGTGTTATGGAAATATCAAAATGCTTTATTGTGTGGATGTTAGTCTGAAGGAGTGGCTGTTCCTAGACAAGTGGTATTTGCATGCAGACCATCCTGTGGAGTAAGTTGCTCCTGGACTGTATATATTATTACCCAGAGTTCTCTAAAATCCAATGAATGAAAGGGGTAGGCCATGGATAATAAGGCTGGGGAGGAAAGGGCTAGATGTTGCTGGATGTCCTCCAGCCAGGAAATGAGGTGGTTTCTGTGTGACTTGCTGCAGCTTCTAAAGCACACAGAGTAGCTCACAGTGTGCAGTAAAATCAGCGTAAGCCAGGTCAGTACAGGAGAGAAGGTACGGCTGGAGCTCAGATTTGAATACATCTCCACATCTTAGCAGTGTAGAACATAGCATTTTTATCTGACTCAAAGTCCCCACAGGATTTGGGGCCCACAATATACATGGTAACCAATCAGCTTCTCTCTTCCGTTTGTTCAGTTAAGCTTTAAAATTGAAACAGAGAAGCTGATTGGTTGCCGTGCACAGCTGCTCCAGATTGTGTCTGCTCCAGTTTTGATAAATTCCCCCTCACTGTATAATTCACCACTAAAAACAAAACCTTTCTATCGGACTCAACAAATCTTCACCAATATTAGATATACCCACAATGAAGACTACAGCACACCACCATATGCATCTTTTAGTACAACGTGGTTTTATTTTACAATTCAGTAAAGTTCCCCTCTTCTGACCCCACAAGACCGCAGGGGCACAGACGTGACTGTGCCATCCATAGTTTCATCTGCAGCTTCTGACATCCCAATAGTCTCAAAGTATCCCACGGATTGAACTGAAATGCTGCTGGAAAAGCCTTTTACCGGGATCTGTCAATGGAAAGTAGTTCTTGTAGTTCTCAGTGGATTTATTGGAATTGGTAAGACTTACAGGGTTATTCACAAGAGAGTGAAGAGTTTGGAGAAGGCAGGAGAAGGGAACAATCTAGGACAACATAGCTGATTTGGAAAAATTCTCTAATTCAGCTCACTTTCCAGTTCAGCTATGTTGGCCTAGATTGTTCACTTCTCCTGCCTTCTCCAAACTCTTCACCCTTTTGTGAATAACCCTGTACATCCTAATATACTAGAGCTTATGTCATCTGCTAGTGAGGGCAAGCACCAGTTGATTTGTTATTTATATTCTTCGACTAGAAGAGCAAATACCCCAATAGCATTTGTATTTGCCCCACTGTCACATCAGCTGGGTAACTGGCACAGAATGAGTGGACAGATGGCTGTTCCTTTTATTCATCAGTAAACAAAGGTGACGTGTACTTACTCCAACCACCTTCATACCGGAGCAGGTGTTTCATTCTGCACGCACAGGCTGAAACCTGAATTCTTGGCTAGAAAATAACTTTAAGGGCCTGTTCACATGAGATCAGGTGCTGATCAGCAGACGTGGAGCTGCTGATGCAGTGCGTTTTTGATGCATTTTCGGTCCGGATGCTGACAGTTAATTTTTTGTCAACGTTGATTCCCAAAACAATTATATATTTTCTGAAAGCAGAGACCCTGTAGAATAAAAAAAATGATAGTTGCAATTTTTTTATGTCGCGCGGTATTTGCGTAAATGTTTACCAAATCGATATTTTTTAGGAAGAAAAATGCTGTTACGTCGAGTAAATAGATACCAAACATGTCAAGCGTTAAAATTGTGTGCGCCTGTGCAATAATGTAAAACTACGGTAGTTAAAATTGTGAAAACCTTTACTGCCCATCAGTTTATAGTAGGGGTCTCAAACCTCCGGTCCTCCCAGGTGTGGTGGAACTACAAATTCCATGAGGCATTGCAAGATTCTCACAGACATGACTCCTGAAGAGAGATGCATCATGGGATTTGTAGTTTCACCACAGCTGGAGGGCCGGAGATTTGAGACCCCTGGTTTAGAGTGAGCAGCAAATTATGGCCCTTTGAATTTTGTGCTCTTAAGGTGCCCATACACTGTGCGATTATCGCACGATAATCGCGGGAAATCCCGCGGTCGTACGATAATCGTAAAGTGTATGGAAGGCGTGCAACTGTTTTTACTGTACGGTCGCACGTCTTTTGTCGTACGATTTTCGGCTGGTTTTTAGCATGATCGTAAGATCAATGCCGCACGAGCCGGTGTGCGCACGCGCACACTGCCCGTTCAGCATTGCGGTCATCGGAAGCCCGCCCCTCCAGGGGGACGGGCTTGCGATGATCGCAAGTACGATTGGCCTGTGCAAGATGGGCAGATCGTATGTTTTTTTAATTACTTTACAACCATCGCAAGACTAAGGACTATGGTTGTAAAGTGTATGGCCACCTTTACTCTGACCTACGCAGCGATCCCCAACATGTGTGGCAGAATAGTAGTTTACATCCGCGTGCATGCCCTACGCACATGTGTTTATACGCATGCAGATGGCGGGTTGGTTTTAATTTTTTTGGTTTATTTTATTATTTTTTCCTTTCACTTAACTTTATTGGTATCACAAAGGGGCTAACAAGCCCCTATGTGATAGTGTTTGGAGGTAACAGGTTCTCTCCCACCTTCCAATACAGATGATTAAGCACAGGAATGTACTTGTTCTCTTGTGTATTTGGCACTTCAGCTGGGCTTCTGATAGCTCTGAAGCAGGAAGCATTTTAAACACAGCGCTTCCTGCTTCATTCGTTACAGAGCAGATTGGGGAACGGATGTTGCTCAGTCTGCTCCTACTCTTCATCCTGTTTGCCATGGTCCCAGACCCCCTGAGGTGTGGGAGACACAGAAAACCACGGCAGTTCTGGCATGCAACCACTTCAGGATGAGGACATATATGTACACCCGGCAATCCTGAAGTGGTTACTTCATCTGTTCATCTTCTCTGCTGGATTACACAAAGTGTTATATTAGCCCCAAGGCTATATATATGATAGGGATGCACTGATACCGGTTTTGCAGAACCGAGTACCAATGTCGATATTTATCTTTCGGTGCTTCCGCTAGCAGGGAGCCGGCTTCCCAGCCAATCAGGAAGCCGGGTGGCATGGCATTTGCCACCGCTAAAGCCGGGCGGCGACTCATTACCCCGCTGCCCAGCTTCCTGATTGGCCAGGAAGCCGCTTCCATGTTCCCTCGCGGCACTGCCTCTCAGGAAATCTCCCTCTGACCGGAAGTTCTGCTAACGGGGTAAATATCTAAACATGTGGGCGTGTACGAGTCCTCTGTATCGGCACCGATCCTAGTATCAGTATCTGTGCATCCCTATTATGATATGAGACACTTTTACCATTTTCTATTACTTTACTCTTTTCCTATGCACTGAGCACATTTGTTTTACATTCTAGTTACACTGAGCAAGAACCGTACAAATATTTGTAAGAAGAAAGAAAAATGTAGGTGTTGCCTTTCTTGTGGCTCACAATATATTTTGAGGAGCAAGTTCTTGGAAACATGTTCCCTTCTTCAGGCATGGCTTCCAGTGTGTAAGAAAACTGGTGGAGAGATGTGACCAGCTATTCAATTTGCTTAGAATGAATGAAAACAGGCTAGAGGGCAGAGCTAATGAAATCACTATATGACACAAACCATAATGATAACAGAAGAGGCTTGTCTCTTTTACTCTACCATTTTGAAGTGATCGTTTATTTGCTATTATTGAAGAATGTTTTTGTTCTGGTAGATGATTGTTTATCCTCCACATGGCTATTTGATCCCTATCATTCTTCAAATAGCAGTTTTCCCTGAATAGTGATCCCTTCATTTACCTTGGTAGTATGGTCTCTACATCTGCGGGATCCCTCAGTGGCTGTTGGACTGCTTTTGGATGTCCCATATGTCTAAGCCACACTAAATTCCTGTGTCCCCCAAAGAATGATAAAGAACATAAGACTTTTTACTAACTAACTTTTTTTTTTTCTTCATCAAAGTCCATTGCGGAACAGAGGTCCCATCCATTTGGGTCATACAGGGTCTGGCTTAATGATTTATTTATTTTTGTCGGTGTCCCATCATCCTGAAGGTAGCAGTGTAACCCAAATGACTAAGAATGGCTAGATTCCATTGTCCCTAAAAAAAAAAAAAAGAACAAAAGCCGAAACCTTTTCTTGGCTTTACTTCTTTATCAGGCCAAAGGAGTATGTTTACTAATGTCCTCCTGTGACCCATAGTCAGTATATAGTGGGGCCACTGCCCGCTCTAACTGACAGCCCAGAGCCACGCTGCAGCCAGGAAGGATCCTGACAATGTGGTCGGAATCCGGAATGCCTGATAGGCAGAGCCAGCTGTCAATCTACAGCCAGAGCCAGCTGTGCCCACTCCCCTCCCTTGTCTGTCCCTCCAATGAACGCTGGAGTCCCTGTGGGAGTGGCGACTGACCGTCACTACTCATTGCTTGAAGAAACCATGAGCTGAGCCATCAGCGGTCACATGATCACTTTTGATCTTCATTCTACCTCATTTCCTGCAACACCACTTCCTGTTTAACCAGCTCTTCAGACCATCAAAGGAAGTTCATGAGCATTTACTGTATATACTACTCAGTGGAGAAGTGCAGTTAACCCCTTCTTCCAGATGGTAGCTGAAAATGAAATGTCATCAGTAAAATGGCCATAGCAACACACTCCAGCAGTAAATAGATGATAATGTCATTCCCAGATGTTGTCTTGGAGTAAGGCCAGGCAGACTTTGTACAGTACAGTGTGGGAGAGGATGTAGTTATTTGGCACAAATCACTGTTGCGTTGGGGTAGGGGGCTGCTTACTTGATCAGTAGAGGAGCTCAGCTATTTCATCTTTGCTTTTGTGTTGTGATCATGGCCTACCATTTCTTCTCCACATACTATATATGCTAAAATGGGAATAGTAAAGGGTGAAGCACTTGAGTCGCACAAGATGACTGCTTGTGACCACTGCCATGGTAACAGAGACGGAATAACCACTATATTACAGAAAACTGAATGATAATATTTCATGAGAGACTGTAAAGGATTACTGCCAGGGGGATGGGGTGGAGAGCAAGCGGTGCCAAATATAGTAAACTCCCACTTGTCCAGCACCCATGGGGATTGGTAGGTGATGGATAACTGTAGTTTCTGGTTATTTGAGAGTCCCTATTAACTCAACCAACCGTGGCTTAATTCATCTGCCGGCTAGATTCCGCAGCCGGCAGGTGAATGTAAGCAGTGGGCAGGAGCAATAGCCAACCTACTATTGGCTATTTTAAGTTGTAATAGCCAATAGCAGCCTGGCTATTGAACCCGCCTACTGTCAATGAGCGGAGAGGAGCATAGCCGCTCTTCTGCACAATGTTTCTGCCTGCTGGCCCCTTTTCGGCCAGAGCATCCCAGGTTGCTAAGAGCCGGGCAGGGAGATATGTATGGCCCGGCAACCTGGGATGCTCTGGCCAGTGTCCCGGCCCGCTCCTGGCAACCAGTGATGTCAGCCAGAGCTGAGCCCATAGCGTGTTGCACAAACCACCCACCCCCCTGTCTCAGGCAGCAAAAAGGCTAGGGAGACCCCTGTATATACCCCATGCCTGCAGCCCAGAGAGAAAGGCATGTTAAAATTGGGCTTCCAACCTTCTCCCCATCTTATATACTCCTTCATTGCTGTCACGTGTCTAAACCCAGAACGGTAATGTATGCACAGATTTCTGGGTAATTGGTCTTATCCAGCATTCTTGTTTAAAGTACTTACCTTTTCAGCTCTGATAAGATTGTGTTGTGTTATGCTGCCCCAGCTTAGAAGTGCCTGCTGGTTATTTACATTAGAGGGCTGGCAATCTGCATAGATCTGTTCCCCATAAAAAACAAAGATTTCAATAACTTTGTTGTGAATTGGGAAAATGAAATGTATCTACTACGCTTAAATACAGAGGTGAATGAGGGGTAACCCCTCCTGCTTGTTTAGGATATCTCAATATTTTAGAGTGTGATCTGGACACAGGTTCAATATAATCCTGTAGGGTTCACAGAAAAGCAAGTAAAATAGGGCGTCCAAATTTCCTAATGCCTGCCAGTGACCCTGCTTCTTTCTGGAGCTCCATAGACCATTAGAGAAGGAAAATCATACAAATGTTTTGGGGCATTCTCCCAGTTTGATGTGTCAGTTCCATTTCTTGGAAAGACCATCCTAGGGTCAAATATTTCAACAACACCACATGAGTTATTGGTACAGAGTTTACTTCAAGATTTGTCACCCTAGCACAGATATCCTGTCAGAAAACCTTCATTCTCCTACCGGTACTTGTACTCTTCGGAAATCATCATAGCTGAGGGTAGGGCCAAGGAGGGTTCAGTAAACTGGTGTAAACCTTGCCCAGAAACCCGTGCCTGCTATGACCTGTACAGTGTCCACTAAGCTGCAGCCGCTGACCAAGCCTGGTTATCCTTCTGGCCTTCCTTCTGTTTTGTGTGAACAAGTTCCAGGGGTACCTAAACTCGTTCAAAGCAAGCAGTGTAATTTAGAGGTACGTTCCACTACCTTCTGAGTAAAGTACACTGGCCTCAGATTTGGAAGTCCTTTTTCTGACCGCTTCATGCTCAACAGCAGCCTTGTTGTAAGTGAGCTAGAGTTTTATTTTTGGATGGCGATAAAATGGCATCATCAGACATGGTACTTCCAGCCCTTATACAGGACATCCTCCCATCTATGACTACAGTTTGACCTCCTGTCCAAATGAAGTTGAGATAAGATAGGACCCAGCATTTAACGTAACCGGTTTACACATAATGGCAAGTAAGCAGAATTTATTCTCATTTACATCCTTTCACAATATTTTCCATTCTACAAACCAGTTCGTTTTTGCCAATGTAAGGAAAACATTTGTGTCTGATCTAAGCTCTTTACCAGGCTTTTCAAATAAACTGCTGTCTTGTAGCTAGGGCTGCAACAACTAATCGACATAATCGATTATTGAAAAAGTTGTCAACTTTTTCAATAATCGATTAATCGGCTTCTGATTGGTTGGCCCTGTTCACGGCTCAACGCGCGCTGCGCGCCACACCTCCTCCCCACCTCATGCTCGCTGCTGCCAGACCTGCCCGCATCCACGCTCCCGCACCTCCTCCGCGCCTCACGCTCTGGGTGACGATTGTTACTTGTTTTGTTTTGTTCTTGCAAATGTCTCCGTGGTTTCAGTCACTCTGTGTATTTTGAGAAGGATTAGCAATTTTAGTCTTTTGAAACGTTTCCTATAGTTTTTTGGGGGTTTTTGTTGTTTTTTAAAAGCAGTAGAAAATATAAGGGCAGGAATCCGACACGATGTAAATCTTTATAAATTGGTTTATTTGGTAGATGTTCTTAGAAATGCTGAGAAATGTGCACGTTATCACTGTCCAATCTTTCTAATGTATGTTGTCTTTAAGTGGATTGGTTTACAGAGGGAAGTAGAGGAGTTCAATGCTTGTCATATACTCTGGAACAGAAGTGAAGTGGGTTTAGTAGTTTCCTGTACTCTTGTAAACATTTCCTTTCCACCGATAAAAGATGAGTAAAGGTCTTGCTGAGTATGTAAAATAACTACCATGTCGGAAATGCTTTGCAGCCTTTTTTGATTGTAGGTCCCTCATAAACAGTGTAGCGGAGTTTTAACAGATTACAAATCTACCACCTATTTATAGACTGTTTTACCTATTAACTATTGTAGTCTTCAATCTAATGGCTAGGGTTTAAACCTACATTTTCATTCACTCTAATGCACTTATGACAAATGCCCTTACATGTTCCAATCACCTGAGCCATCCATATAATAAATATACTGTATGTATGTGTATATGCATGTATGTGTATGGGTGTATATATATATATATTATTATATATGTAATTATTCAGTGTATGTGTTTAATGTCACTTTAAGCAAGCATGAGGCAATTTAAGCAGACCAATCACGCAATACACAGACAGATTGAAGCAAATGCAAACAATATGATAATTCCCCTTATGCGATGTGTTTAACAGTTGCAAGCAAATAACAGTTCATGCATTCATAGCCTCAGTAATGTGAGGGGTTAATAGCAGGGTTGGTAACCGACCCTCCAAAGGAGCATTGATAATAACAGTGCACTGAATGGGATAACAGTGGCAGCTGCAATAGCAATATGACCCAGGGTACTTGCGCTTAGTAGTGCAGCTAGGTACACGGTCATCAGGGGACCAAAGCTCCCAAGCGTCCAGTCCTCCTGCTCACTTCCTGACTGGCAAATAGTTTCCACTGCTGGGGTTGTCTTTGGGTGCTGCTGTATGGGACGGTTCACAGGTAATGAAGGTTGTGAGTTCACCGTTCGTCACTCGACACTCCACAACGAGAGAACGCCGAGTGACGATCTCTCAGAGATTTTTAACTGTGGACCGCGCTCCGTGGGCGGAGCCGGCGTGATGTCATCACCGAGACGGCGCGTCGCAGGAGCAACGGGACGCGCCGGGTAAGTCTATGACACTCAGTATACCACGAACTACAGCTTTACTGTCTAGATCCACCCAGCTGCGTGATTGACAGCTGGCTCTGCCTATCTAGAGGCAGAGCCAGCTGTACCCGTGCCCTCCCCGTCCGTTCCGCCAGTCAGCGCTGGAGGATCGGAGTGGGGAGGGGGGGGAATACCTGCGGGGAGCCGTGGCTGACGGTTATCACTCTCTGCAGGGAGATGATCGAGAAATGAGCGAGCGACGGTATGTGTTCGCTCACTTCCTGATCTATTGACGTGCGACTGTTTCATTGTCACACGTCGGCTCGAACTATGAGGGTGAGTGATTTTCACTCACCTCATAGTTCTCCTTTTAAGTTATTTTATTGATATACAATGTATCTATGAAGTCTGTACTATTCGTATATACTATACCTGAAACGTTTTTCTTCAGGAAAGGTGTGTGTTCTCAATGGTATTTGTATTTTGCTTTTGTTAGCAGTATGATTAGTGTGCATGTATATGTATGTAATTATATACCTTTTTAATATAAATAGCTGGCTGGTGGAACTCAGTTGTTAGTGTTCTGGGTAATTGTGTATATCCTGTCTCCACAGATATGCCCTAGTGGACTGTCTTTATATCCGTATTACATCCAATATGGACACCTGTACAAGAAGCCAGGGTAGCCAAATGAAGCCGAAAGTATCGGTGAAAAAAGAAGTAAGCAGCTAAGTATATGTAGCATTGTTCATCCAGCATTAGACAAAGTTTTTTCAAACCTAATGTGAAACGTAACAACTGTCCCCATAAAGGGTTTTTACCTATTTTCCCGATCTAGGGATGTAAACCCACAAATGAATCTTGGATGTCAAAATAGTTTTTCCTTTTTTTTTTTTTCCTTTTTTTTTTTTTAAAGAAGAACTCGGCTAAGTAATATTTAAGTCTCATTAGTGCTCAGTTTTATCTGATGGAAATATTATCGATCTTTGTTGCCAATGGCAGTTAATTATTATTAATCTCTATCTGGTATTTGGGGGCAACACAGAAGACCTGGCACAATTCATCCATCAAACGCACTGACATATCAGTCCTAGTGTTGCTAAATTTAATGTGATTGTGTCATCAAAAAAAGGAAGAAAAGAAAAATTACTGCAAGTATAAAGTGCATGCATCTAGAGAAGACTTGCAGATACCTGCAGCAACCTCTAAAGCCCTTCTGTCAGTGCCCAAAGTCAGGCCTTTCTGACTCCAGCAATTACAGGCAGTTGCAGAGTTTGCTGCTAAGCCCCTCCCCCCTGTATTCCAATTGGTCCATCACTATGGGGCAGCCTCACTAGCCCAAGAGGACTATGAAGGAGGTGGGGAAGTGACAGGCAAGCTTTGGCACTATCTATCTACATACATACTTTTTTTTTTTTTTTTTAACAGGGGGGGTTTGGGGGCGGCCACAAGTATGGACAGGCACTTCTGGGTGCATGAGCCTTGTACTTGCTGCCATGTTTTTAGCCCCAGTCTCTTTAAAGGGTCAGTTCACTTTTGTAACACAGTAGTCCACAAGCCCCAGTGGGCCTTTAAAAGTCTTTATAAATGCAGCTCCGTCTTGCCCTCTTGCCAGGATGAGCCAGCCTTTGGACACTCACCTCCAGCATCAAAGAAGTGAGTGTTATCCTTTTTTCTGTGCATGCGCAGTGCGCTTTCAGCTCCCTCAACTTAGCTGTGCTCAGCAGCTGAGACAGGGGGGAGAGTGGGTTGTGCATGTGCAGGGCTCTGAGAAAGAACGATGCTCCCCCTGTGATGCTGGGGGTGAGCATCTAAACACAGACTTGTCGTGCCAAGAGGGCAGGACAGAGTTCTAAATAATATTGGGAGACTTTCAGGCAGGTTTCACTGAGGGGCACAAATGGCCCACAGGTATGACAGCTGCATTAATGAAGATTTGCCAAAGCTGCTAAGTTTATTGCTGAGGGAGAACTGAAAGAAACTTTTCTTTGTTCTGGATAGAGTAAGACCCCATTCACAATTATAGTTTTAGGTGAGTTTACAGATTCTTGCTTCAGGAACTTGGTTTTATTGCAGCAGAAATCCCTAATTTGCTGTTTACAAGCGGCAGCTGCCACCCATTCGAGGTAATGATTGGGCGACAGCCACTGCATTTAAACTCCGGCACACCGAACAATGCGTCCAGGGAGAGTGATTGATTTATGTGTCGGCGCTGCAATGTCTGTCACCTGATCATTAACTTGAATGGGTGACAGCTGTTGCTGGTAAACAGCAGATTAGGGAGTCCTGCTGCAGGAAAATGCAAGTTCCTGACACGGGAGTCCCTAATCGCTCCTAAACATACAGGTGTCAATGGAGCCTATTTGAGGGTTGTAACCCCTGTCAGCTTTTTTGCCATCCTTGCCTCATTGGGGAGATTTCCCTTCACTTCCTGTTCAATAGTCACAACATGAAGTGAGAGGAAATCCCTCCAAAGAACGAGAACTCTGGTTTTCAGCAGTGTCCCCAGAACTAGTGTCCCCATAGGGAAATTACTCATCTATTTTGGTTCTGAGGACAACCCAAAATTTAGGATTTTTTTTTCACTTTCATTGATGATGGTCACCAGGACAAAAAGAGAGGATGAATATCCCATCTCCCTAACGGGGACACAGACAGCAGTAAGGGCTGGTTCACACCACTTCCAGCACTTCCAGTTAAGTTGCTGGAACACACTTTGATGGCATCAGAAAAACCTTCCTGCATTCTGGGGCGCGTGACGGTGCATTCAAGTCAATGGCACAGCATCACCCCCCCCAGTCAATAGTACATCAATGCCTGTATTCTGGTCTAGTGCGGGGGAAGGGGGGTAGGGTGGCTGCATTGCCATTGATTTCAATGTACCACCACGCCCCAGAACGCAGGGAGGATTTTGTAATGCGACCCAGTGCGTTCCAGCACTGGAATTGTGCTGGAACGCACTGGAAGTGGTATAAACCGGCCCTATAACCTGACAGGTGTTCTTATCCCTCCGCACTTCCTACCCACAACTACAAAAAAAAAAAAAAAGCTAATGGGTCTTGTAGACTACATAGGTTATTTTGTTACAAAAGTAAACTAACCTTTTAAGTTGCACTCCAAGCGAACAGCTGAAAACAGGAGCTCTCTGCAGACTAAAATGAAGCTGAGCAGTACATCCTGCTACCGGAGCTATCTCAACCAGTGATTGGACCATGAAAGAGCAGAAACATACTGTTTAGCTCATCACCCTGCTTTCTGCTTCTGTAGGTAAACATTGATGTTGGGTGGACTGCACTGTGCTATATAACAAAGCCTTACTAGCAGTCTGTATGTTTACAGAGTGTACAGTATATGTATGCTAGTGAATTTGAAATGAAATAAAATGATGTTTTAATGCATGCAGTAACTGGAAACTGGTGCTTTTGATAACTGCGTGGAATTCAGATTTAGGAACTTTTTGATGCGTGTTCTACTTTTAAAACAAATTGTAGTTTATCAGAATAAGCATACGTTTTTCAGCTGGTAGCGTGTGTCTATGTGTGGTTACTTGTTTCACTTCATCATTTTCTTTTCCAGAATATCAGCGAGGGGTTGTTGAGTTCTGTGAAATCAGTACTTCAAAGCAGGAAGGAGCTGTGTTCCATCACAGACTGTCTGAAGAGCTGCAACAAAGAGGATTTTATTGAGGTCAGTTTTTTCCCCTGCATACAGTTCAGTTCTTTCTAATTGTTACATAGTGTTAGCACAAGCCTGCAGAGCACATTACAGTATAATGGAGATCTATAACCTTTGTTAGACCCATTTCCGTGCAACAAGGTTGTGAACCATGTGAATTAAAGGCGATCTAAAGGCACCAGCATCACATTAGGTATTCAGAGCAAGTATTGTTAAATAAATAAAAAGGTTTGATTTTATGGTGCAAAATATTTTCTTTCTACATATCTCTGCCTCTTCAGAGTAGTAGCTTCTGTCTTTCTTTTGCCTCTGGGTCATCTCAGTCGGGGTCAACTCCTACAATTACAGGTGCACCAAAATTCAACCGCAACAGAAAATAAAAATGTCAGACCGAAAATATTTTTTTTTTTTTTTCCTTACATAGTATGAGTTACCATGTCCACAATTATGAATAGGAAATGATATAGAGCACTTCCTATTCATTCATAACTGGTACATAGTAACTCATACTTTGTCCAGTTATTTACAAACATTCAGCGATCACTAATAGTTGGTTTGCTTGTACCCGCTCTCCATCCTGGATCGGTTGTCAATGGCGACTAAGCTGGCGGTGCGGGGTGAAGTGATCGGTCTATTTTGATAGCTGACATCTGTTCCTGCCCTCCACACCTCTCTATATCCTGATTGCTCAGCTCGGCCTCCTGTGACAACAATAATCATACCTCTCTTTTCCCACCCCGCTCGGTCTGACGGTTTCTCTCCTTCCCGCTGGGCGTGGTGTCAGAGGGGACACAGAACAGCGCTCAGCGGGGAGGAGAGAAACTAGGAATGCACCGCAATTTCGGCCAAAAGATGACACTTTTGGCATTTTGCCCAAGGTGCTTTTTTCTGCCGACCATGTTTCAGCGGCTGAAATTTCAGTGCATCCCTACCTACAATGCCGTGTGCCTCATGTCACATGCGAATTGCCTCTAGGCTGTAGAAGAGGCTGGCAAAAGTAGAGAGGTGGGCAGGGACATAGGCAGGACATTAGGGAGGAGGTGTGGAGCTGTGAGAAAGTAGTGAATAAAACAGTACACTAGTTTCAGAGCACAGTGCTTCTGCATATCGGACCTGAATGGGAGATATTAGGAAGGCAGATTAAAATGTGGACAAAGACATACAGGCATATGCATAAGACATATCTACTCTGAGGTATTTATGGGAACTAAATGGGCATAGAAATGTACAGGGTGAGAGATGTTGAAATGGCATGCTAAGGCAAATATGACATTTTGTTTTATGACTTTAGTGACACTAAATCATACAAACCTCTCTGAGAAGCATATAATGCGCTTATGTACTAACACTTTGATATTGACTTCTTGCTTAACTGGTGCTATATTGAATCTAATCTGTATGAGCATTCTGAGCCAAATGTTTTTGATAAACTGTTTTTTTTTCCTCTGTTCTGATTAATGGGAAACTGTCTGCTTTGGAAACAAGGTTTTACACTGTCATGGCCACCCAGGCTCCAGGCCATGTCATTGTTTAGCTGTAATACCTATTAAATCGTGTGAACTTTCCAACTAAGTAATTGGAGGAAGTTTATTCTTAGCATACTGCTTGTTGATCATTTACACCATTGTCTAGACTCTGTGGATTCCTTTAGCTAAACGACCTTTTAAAGAAGTATAATTTACATACAAACTGGTAGATAAACCTATCCCCAGTCTGATTTCAGAATACAACGTCTTTAGTTCAGTTTTCAAAGGAACTAGGGGAAGTTGTGCATGTTTTCTTAAGCAGGATGAACGCAATAATTGTATGTTGGTTCAGAGGGCATGTCAGTGCAATGGCGGTGAACACTGAAATTTATGCTGGTGCAGTGAGGGTGAGTGCTGAACTGTATGTCATTACAATGGCAATCAGGGCAGAAGTGTGTGTCAGTGCAATGGCGGTGAACACTGAAATTGATGTTGGTGCAGTGAGGGTGAGTGCTGAACTGTATGTCATTACAATGGCAATCAGGGCAGAAGTGTGTGTCAGTGCAATGGCGGTGAACACTGAAATTGATGTTGGTGCAGTGAGGGTGAGTGCTGAACTGTATGTCATTACAATGGCAATCAGGGCAGAAGTGTGTGTCAGTGCAGTGAGCGTGCCAGTGATGTGGTGGTGAATACAAAAGTGTGGATATTTGCAGTGGCACAAGTGAGTAACTGTACAAAGGTGCAGTGACCGTGACTACATAGGTATTTGTAGGTGTACTTCAGTACAGTAGGAATGTCAGTCAATGAAAACAAATGACACTGCTGCTAGGCACCCAGGCTACCGTACACATGCAGCTGCTCCTCATTATCTCAGTCTTGCCCAAGCTAATAGCACAAATCCAATAATGACTTAAAGTGGACCTTTACCCCCTTTTGACTAGAAATCACATCAGAATGCAGCTCTGCATGCTGATATGAAATCATCTTGCATTCATTAGTAAAACAAACATACCGTATTTGCCGGCGTATAAGATGGGGTTTGAGACCCCAAAAAATCGCCCGAAAATCGGGGGTCGTCTTATACGCCGGGTATACTGCGGTATACTATATGTAGCTTCGGCTACATACAGTATACCACGCTGAGCCAATCACGGCAGGCTTTGTATTCTTTAATACAAAGCCTGTATTTACTGAATACAAAGCCTGCCGTGATTGGCTCAGCGCGGTAGTAGCTGAAGGACGGAAGATGGAGGACGCTGCTGGAATCCTGGACAAGGTAAGAGACTGTAATCCCGAGTGTGGCTCGGGGTTAACACTTATGGTACTGAAAATTAACCCCGAGCCACACTCGGGAATACCGCCAAGGAGGTTAGTAAGTGCATTTAAACATTGTTTTGGGCTATACTCGTCTTGTACGACGAGTATAGCCCAAAACCTATATTTTTACACAAAAAGTGGGGGGTCGTCTTATACGCCCAGCCGTCTTATACGCCGGCAAATACGGTATTTTTTTTTTACATACAATTTCTTGTTTTCTACTTCCTGGTTCTCTTTGGCAAAAGTCATGTAATTGTGCCCAAGCATTGCATCCTGGGAAGATTACATTAGCTGAGCATTGCTCGGAAATCTCGTCTGTTATCTCACAGAAAGGCAGGCAAAGACATTTTCGTCCCCTGAGATGATGTGCATGATCACATGTTCTAGTCACATGTGCCAGAGTTCCAGGAAGTAAAGGGAGATGGATTCATCTGCCCTTAGTGAAAATGGCCACCATGAGATGATACTAGAGAGGAAAAGAGAAATTAAGAAATGTAAAGAATACAAAGCCGGCAATTATCTAGAAGTATGTGTGTCATTACTAAACATTTCTAATGGTGTGTTTGTTGTTGTTTTGAAGATGTGGGTAAAGTTCCTCTAAGTCCTGCTGAGTGTAACAGTAGGCATGGGTGCAGTGGTGGTGAGTGTGGAGGTGCACGCTTGTGTAAATGCGTGGGCGTGCAGTGTTGTTGAAATGTGAAAGTGAGTGCCAGTGCTATTGTGGGGAGTGTAGAAGACTATGAGGCACTCAGATTATGTTGCTGATGGTGTAAAAGATGGGGCACATTGCAGGTTAAGTAGCCAGTTTGTATACTACATGTCCAGTTATGCAGCAATGCTGTGCCAGAAATGGTGTGCAGATTTGCATAGCCACCCAGTGTGTACATCTTGTCTAAGTCCTCTTCTCAAACTTTCAATACTTTTAAGTTTGAGCCCCATAAGTACCCATAGAGAATAACTGGGCTGGTCTCTTAGAAACGGACCTGTGAATGAATGTGAGTGGCTAGAGCCGGGACACTCACTGCTGTATAATCATGCCTCCTTCCAAAATATCAGCGACATCACCCCTGTGCTGGAAATTGTATGGGCAACATGCAGTGATGACAGCGCTGTCCACATTGTGAAGATGTCAACAGCACCAACACTTGTGACTTTTGGCTGCTTTTGGGCAGCCAAGGGTCACAAGACTCACTGCACTCTCTGCTGCTAGCCCAGGAGGTGAGAAAGAGGCCGTAGCTTGCGTCCCTTTGATTTCCTGGGATTTTATTTTTACATAACTATAGGTTAAAATAAAAGATATATCCTGACTGGTCACCATGGGCCAAAACTCACATTTCCTGTTCTCACTGTTTGTGTCGTACCCATGGTTCTTACATTCACACATGGAAGAATTTAGAAACTTAAGGTGGCAATAGACTGCAAATTTCTGGCCAGTTCTTGAGTAACCAGCCAAAATTCACACACTGGATGCGTCTGTCGCCACCCTTTCGGCCAGCATCCCTCGATCAGCTAGCCGAGCAGGCAAAGGATTACTTTGGTAATGCATACAGCATCCCATAATAATCTGATAGGATGTGACGTGGCAGTAGTGGAAAGAAGAGAAGCCACGACTTAGCCACCAGAATCCACAGCTAAAGATACGTTTGGCCTTTTTTTGGTGAGCCTATGTTCTATGTGACCACGCAATCATTTGTTCAGCCTCTGCACCCTAAGGGTAAATAGGATACTGGCTGCAGTGATTTGCTTACAACATCATTGCATCCAGTATATAAAATATGGCAGGCAAACTTTTTCTGTCATGCTCCCCTATTGCTGCAGTGGAACTTTTACTTTTTGTCCCACTCGTAATAAACAGTAAGTAATACAAAAAAATGCGTACAGGTGGGATAAAGGGGTGAAAGTTCAACTGTTTCCAAATGGTTCTATAAGGAAAATTTTGAGTCCCACTGTTTGAACCCTTATTTCTTAATCATACAGTACAGGGCACAGGAGTTTAGACCATGGGTTATATGCAGCTGCCTTCAGGTGCATATGGCAGGACACTGGCGAGTAAAGTTTTTAGGGCAGCCCCAATATAACCCTGCCTATTCCTAGCAATCCTTAGTTTTTTGCTAGTGTCCTTAAGTGATAAAAAGTCTTCTCTCTGTTGAGAGTATCATACCACCACCTTTTTTTATTTTTGTTTCTTTCAAGTTTCAAACTGCACTTCCTTTTCTGCGGTTTTCCAGATTGGCCCCTCGGCTGAGCCTTGGGGGACTAGATCCTGCCAGATGGAAGATGCAAGGCCAGCTTGTAATGTATCTTGCAGTAGGCACTCACCTTGGCACATAGCGCATTTCATTGAGTTAGCCAGAGAGTGTTTTTTATAGGTTTAGGACGGTTGTCCACCTGTCAGTGGAGTCTTGTCCCTGGAGACCTATTAGGCAGGGTATGCCCTCCTGGGGACCAAGACCTGGACAGGCCTTGTTCTTAACATTGCCATGGTGGGGGACCACAAGTCTGCCGAGGTAAGTTAGAGCTTTCACCCTAAGTAAGGGTTTTCACTCCTTAGGAGCTGCTGTACCAGTTCCTCTGTGGGTTAGTTGTACTAGGGAGCGAGAGTGATAATTTGTCTGTCCTGTCTGTCTGTCTGTCTATCTAGATATATAACTCTATCTATATAGATATATAACTCTAGATAGATAGATATATCTATTATAATTTAAATTTTTTTTCCCCCGACCCCTAGCTGTGGTCATTGCGGCGCCTGTGTATCCTCATATGTTATTCAACTACATATTGTATACAATACATTTTATGCCCGGAGCCTCGAGAGTTGGAACCCTTGTCAGATTTTTTTCTGCTATCTGGGACTCCATTAGATAATTTTTGCCTAACTTCCTTTCCTGCTGACAACAGTTTCATCAGATAGGAAGTGAGTGGAACTCACCAACAGTGACACAGATAGAAATACAAATCCTTTTCTTTAACAGAGTAGGGGAAGCTAGAACACACTGTCAGATTGTTATTCCTGTCCATGTCTCCGTTGCAGAATTCCCTTCACTTCCTATCTGAAAAAACCTTGTTGGCACAACAGAAAGTGAGGGAAAGTTTCTCTTAACAGAGCTGTGGATAGCAGTAAAAAAACAACAGGAGTTCTAATCCTTCCCAATTCTATCCAAACTAGAAAATCAGTTGTAACCTTGATGTGCAGTTTAATAATAAGTATAGTGAGATTTAGAAATGAAATGGCTGTAATGCTTCAATTGTGTCTCTAGATGGAGCTGTAAACTTTATTTTACCTGAATGTGAAATGTGGTAAACATTTGATATTTCTGAACACATTGTGCTACAAAGTAACTCGCTGCCACATAGTGATCAATGCCAAACTATTTCCAGGTATATATTAGGTCCCTTTCCTACTAGCATTTCCATCAGGTCCGCCTGACACTTTTTTTTTCAGGCGGACCCGATTAAATGTGCAATGTTAGTCTACGGACCAGCGTCTGTTTACACCCGGGAACCACGGACTCCAGTCACATGTGGAAAAACAAACGGATCAGAGATCCTTTTCGCCAGACCTGATTGTGTTAATCGGTGGTAATCTGATGTAAACAGACACATGTCTGCTTACATTCCAGTCCGCTAGACTGACATGGGTTTCCGGCAGTTTCAGTACTTTCCTCCCTCGCAAGATAGAGGAAAAATACTGGATGGACACGGATGTCACAGCGGTGTTATCCACGCTGTGCACAGATCCCTTCCTGATCAGCCTGTGCGAAAGGGGCCTAAGGAGTACGTCTAGCCGTAAAAAATATGAATCCAACATTTTACATTTGTCACTAGAACAAAAGTTGAGGTCATATCTTCTATTGGGGACATCTGTCCCAGTGACAACTGACTTAGGAGGGACATCCCCCCTCATTTTGCAGACATGTGTCTCTGTTGCGTCTCTGGGACAGAATGTGAAGTGAAATCTCCAACAAAGTATAATCTGACGGGTTTTAACTTTTCCCTTCTGGATCCATAGTTTTGACTGTACTTTTTAATTATTATTAGGATTGTGCAATGACACTGATGAATCCACTATAATGTAAAGGCTTTCTGTATTGATATGTAAATAGTTTAATACAAATGAAGACACAATAATTGAATAAAACCATGTCCATCTGCTGTGGTACCCCATGTCAGAGCATGCCATGTGAGTTAAAACTATCAGTCGCATGTGGTATCTTGAAAGAGGTCTTACCTTCAGCTGCTCAGGAGTTAAATCTAAAAAATACATTCATGTACCTTAACTATTAATAATACAGTAATGTATCTTATTTGTGTATCACTGTAGATCCTCAAATCAGCTCTGAATGCGTACTGACACTGTCCTTCCTTCTGGAGGGTGGCTACTTTTGTTCCCCATGGTCCCTGTGTGTGTTGTAAAGTAGTCACCTCTCCAAGCTCCCGCCCCAGGATGGACTACAATCTCAATACTAATTAGTAAAATTAAACATGAGATTGTAGTTTCTGGTATGGGCTGTCAGTTTAGAGGTTCACACAAGCTCTTTCAGCTTTCAATGAATATATGATGTTGTGGTGACTGTACAGCCATCTCAGGTATTTGTGATCACCGGAAACGGTCCTGCTTAAAGTCAATTTTAATTTATTCTTTTGCAGATTACTTTTCTTGGGCTTTCCAGGGAGTCTGGACTAAGAAACATTCAGGTATTACTTAATGTTGGGTTTTATTGTGTGATCTGTGCTTTTTTAAAACCTCGTGTATTATCCCAAACTACTCCATCATAAGCAGAAACACATTATAAGTATACTATACTGTAAATAAGTTGTCTGGCATACCGGAAAATAATGGTACCTAAACTCTTGCAATTATGAGGAAGATTTGCAGTCTAGCACTCGTGTTTTCTACCCAGTTGTTTTTATACTAGTCTAGTATGTTTTAATCCCCCCCACAGTGTAACAGATGGGGACATTCCTAATAGCAGTGGATAAGTTGCATTTTGGCAGAATTGTGATTTACTTAGGATAACTATGTTCAGTCTCTGGCAATAGACAAATCCTTTAGTAGATGGGTCTTGGTTGGTGGTGGATAGTGAAGGAGGCTTGATGGTCCTTAATTGTTTGGCTGTTCAGTGACAAACAAATGTTCAAATTCTGTTTTTACATCTTAATCTGTACAGAGCTGCTGGAATGGGGCCGAATATTTTTGTATTATACAATTAACTGGGTGTTCTCTGTACACATGCATGTCTTTTCACATTATGTTTATTTTATCTATTTATTTTCATATTATACGTTTGAATAGAAATACTACAAAAATACAGCTGTATCACCTGAGAAATGTATACTGTATTTTATTCCTTGTAAAATATTAGTATTTATACCGTTCGTAGGGTATAACAGCACTTTATGTGGATGTCCCGGAATTGTTACAATCTCCCCATCTGTGCAATTTAAATGAGAATGAAGTTATTTTGATGAAAGATGGAAAAGAAGCTGCAAAATCTAGTACAATGCAGGTAACACCGGTATGGAATGATGTGAATGTGGAAGTGGTAACACATTATTCAGTATCCTATTTGACAATAACAGGTATACCCAATTAAGGCTCCATTCAGTTCCAAGGCCCTTGTTCACACCTTGGCGTTTTGTCACTGCCAGAAATACGCCTGTCACACGAAATACTACATGAGCTACTTTGGGGCAGATTCAGAGCGTTTTCTCCCCATTGACTCAATAGAAAACGCTTGAAAAACGCACATTGCAATTATTTTTGAGCAGAGTCAGCTCGTTTTGCCCACGCACATGCATATTACACAATTTGCTCAATATGCCACAATCTGCTCCTAAAAACGCACAAAACACGGATGTAAGACGCGCATAATAGGTGTCGCTTAGGTGTGAATGCAACCTTAGAGGGGGTATGGCAATCTTCCATAGAGCCACTTTGTAACATTCATTCCAGTGTTGATTCCATGCCTCAGGCTGCCGTGATCCATGGAGTGCAGATGAATAGAGTAAGGCTGACTCCTGATTGGTTGAGTCACAGACATACTTTTCTTCTGATACAGTTTTCACAATTACACCACATACCTTGCATGGAATTGGCTTTCAACAATATTTACAAGAAAAATATATGGCTTCAGTTTGTAAGCTGAATAAGGTTCAGCTTACAAGATGGCTGCTTATATAATATATATATATGTATGTATGTATGTATGTATGTATGTATGTATGTATGTATTGAAATTGTTCGACAATTTTTAGACATAGCTCTTCACAGATTGGTGAACCTCTGCCCATCTTTACTTCTGAGAAACTCTGACTCTCTGAAGCGGGCCATACACCTTACAATTATCTGCAGATTTTCTGTGGTCAGATGGAAAAGGTGCAACAGATTCCTCTATCTACAATTAACTGTGTGGATGGGGTAATATCCACCTGGGCCAATCTGTTGCACTTTTTCCATCTGACCACAGAAAATCTGCAGATAATTGTAAAGTGTATGGGCACCTTTTTAGATGCTCTTTTTATACCCAATAATGTTACTGACCTGTTGCCAATTAACCTAGTTAGTTACAAAACTATCTTCCAGCTCTTCCTTGTTAGATCCAATTGCTTTGACAGCTTTTTGTTGCCCTGTCCTAACTTTGGGATGTGTTGCTGCCATCAATTTCAAAATTCCCTTATTTTTTTTTTTTTTAATGGATCCGTTTTCATATTAAACATTTGATATGTTTTTCTATTTTCTACTGTGAATAAAATATGGGTTTAGGAGATTTGCAAATCATTGCATTCTGCCTTTATGTAGATTTTACACAGTTTTCAAACTTTCGGGAATTGCGGTTGTGTGTGTGTGTATATAATGATGCACTGATATATGCATCCTAAAAATATAGGATGCACCGAAATTTCGGGTGCCGAAACATATTGGCCAAAAATTGCACTTTTGGCTAAATGCCGAAAGTGCAATTTTCCTACCAATACATCGGCGTATCCCTGCTTTATTTCCTCCCCACTGGGCGCTTCTCTGTGTCCCAGCGGGAAGGAGAAGAAAGTGTGATAGCAGGCCGAGCAATGCGGGAGGAGAGCACTGTGAGCAGCCGCTGTCTCTCCTCCCACACCGCTCAGCCTCCAATCACAGTCTGGCAGAGCGGTGTGTGGGTGGAGACAGCCCGCGCTGTCACAGGAGGCTGAGCTCTCCTCCCTGCACCACTCACTCAGCCTCCTGTGACAGCGTGTCAGAGAGGAGAGACAATGCAAAGTGTGTTTTGTGGATTTGTGGTGTTTGTACATAATTGAGGACATGGTATGTGTACTATGTCCTCTATTATGAATGAATGGGAAGTGAGCTACATCACCTCCTGTTCATTCATGATTGTTCCTGCCTAAAATGTGTGCACAATACTGTATATACTGTAAATATTATTCATATATTTTAATTTACTTTGCTTTTATTCCTATTGCAGAATTATTTTTCTGGCTCTTTATGTATGATGACCTCGGCGCCATTGTCACTTTTTAAAAGTGATTATGTGTATGTCCTGTTGAGCAAGTATTCAGCTGGAGTACAGTATGCAGTAGACCAGGGCGGCTTGAATCAGAAGGCAGATCATCATGAGGACGATGACACTAATCATTCGGTCTCTTCAATTGAGGATGATTTTGTAACTGCATTTGAACATTTGGATGAAGAGGATCCTATAAATACAAATGACCTCCAAGGTACTGTATTACATCTCCATGCTGGCTAACTTAGATGGGACTTCTGTGCCTGCATGGGTTTGATGCCCCTGGCTTGTGTAAGTGTTGTTTCATATACTACTGTGATGACATTGCAGTTAAGGTTTGCTATGCCCATAATGAATGGGGTGCCTCAAAAATGGACCCTAACACGTGTTCATTAACGCACTGCAACAGAACGCTTAAGTATGAATGGCCCCTTATAGGTACACTCTAGGGAAGCAG